TCGAGAGCGAATACCCTGCTACATGTAATCTGTTGCCGACCGCTGTAATAAGTAACTTACAGCGGTGACCTATTTTCAATGGATAGTGACTGGAGCAGTTATCATTATTAGGAGCGCATGTCCGCACATGTGGCCGAACGACTCGAGTAGAATTGTGTCCAGGAGTGTAGAGCTTTTCGTTTCGATGATTCGTTTCGGAATGACAAGACCGATCCTCTCTGTATTGATATCATCGGAAAGCCACATTATTAGTATATAGAGGGATCACTATAAGGAGCTTATACATCGTTAAAGCTCCGACTATACTAGAACTCACTATTACATTATTGACCAATCATTAGGCTTAAGTTTAAATTCAGCGAATCAAAAAACGATAACGCATTATTTTGACTAATCCAATGCGAGTTGAGTTTGTAAGCAACAGCTCCGACATATCTGATCGGAGCCATAATAGCTGTTATTGATATTCCCGTACAAACTTTTACTCATTTGCATATTTCACGAATAAAATGCATCACCCCGAAAACTCCGAGACACCATCAGCCTCACAGACCTCGCACCCACCAACACAAAACGTGCGCGCGAGAGCGCGTCTCGTTCCTTCAAGACTTTCCTCAATGAGAAAGGCGTGACATGGTAGTACCTGGAGGTGTGCATGAAGCGCGACAGCGCTGCTACCGTGCTGGAGGCAGTGGTAGACAAGTTTGGCATGAAATTACCTTACAAGAAAGGACACAACGGCCAGCTCCTGGCTAGACATTCGGTGATGCAGTACTACCAACAGGGTAAGAACTGGCTACTAGAGCAGTTTCCACTGCTTCGACCAGCGACGGAGAAGAATCTGCTCAAGAAGGGGCAAGTCTGGAATGATATTGCATGAAGCGCGAGTCCGGTACTATTGCCAACAAGGCGCCCGCATGCACGAAAGCAGCACTGAGGAAAATGACGACGTATCTGTATTCAACTACTGCTACGGCTTCCGACAACCAAGACGCGGCAATCCTGTGTCTGCTTTGGTTTCTCTTCGGACGAGCGTCTGACCTCACGTTACTGCGAAAAGAGAATATATCGATCGGCACAGGGAATATCCTCTTCGTCCTATTCATTCGAGTTAAGACATCCGAAGAGCAGGGTCTCTCTCTTTTCCCGGACGATTTTTTTTACCACTTGCCCGCAGTTGGCCATTGCGCTATCTTTGGCGATGCAATCGGCACCCACCGCTTTTCTCCTGAGCCAACTTCCCGAACAGCTTACTATGTTCCGTGTAGCCTTGAACCCCGCAGCCCCTCTCATCGACTTAATGGATCATCCGGGCGTCGTCGCACCGCTACATCCTTCTTCGGAT